CCGTGTAACTGTGTAAGTGCTCGCCAATGCAAAGTAGTAGGATTAAAAAGAAAACGGACTACAAGCCCAAATTTAGAGTCCGTTTAGAGCCCAATAACTATTTATATTGTGTTGCTGAAACCACGTGACATCCACTTTTTTCTTTTCATTTTCGCCAAAGAACTTGGTAGGTGAAGTGGGGCCTCAATTTGACCTTTCAACCAGTTTCGTGCATCCAGAGAGTCCAAATCAAATCCATCCGTCCATCAGCTTGCCTGAAAAATATCACATGACACATGTGCTAGCATCAGTTGCAGATCCTGTTATCGAGGAAGTTATTTCAAATGAATCACTCAAGTTTTCTCTTATATCCTATTAAGTATTGTTTGACAATCATTACTTCAAAATTCTTTTTTTTTTTTTTAATACGTACGTAATCCCTATTTGGTGAAGATTAAAATCAAATTTTTTTTATAAAAAATGATGAAATATATGGTTAAAAAATTATGGGACCCATAAAATATGAGGTTAAAATTAATTATTGATTTTGATTTAGATTAAAATCTAAATTTTAACCCTTACCAAAAATAGGTTTATTTTCAATCACACATTCACACAATAAAATATGCATATAAATTCAAAATTCTTTTCTTATTTTTTAAGTGCACGTTTTATTAAAAATTACTATTTAAAACATTAATTTTCCATGTAATGATTGTCAAATAGGCTAAATCACTAAGTTAGCAAAATTGACATGAAAGCCTATGTGTACGCCGTGTGCTAATGGGCCATTACTCAGATTCCTATGAAACCCTTAATCATCATAGAAATGATATTACTACCCTTTTTCTCCTAATTGATTTTACTATTGAAATATGATTTCAATACCTAAAAAGACTTAAATATAAAATCATTATGTAATTTTTGGACATTTTGGGTTTTGTTATTTTTATTTTGACATGCAAAGAGTTTAAGAATTTCAAATTACAATCTTTTTCGTTTCCAAAAAAAGTGGTCAAATGGGGGCTTATTATATTTTCAAATACGAATTTTATTAACTTTTATCAAAATATACAAAAAATAAAAAAATTAAGCAAATCAAACAAGGATTTAATTTGTTCTCGTCGAAATTTAATTATGTTGCATGTTAAAGTACTCCTAAAATGTGACCACTACTGAACACCTAATTTCAGGATATTAAATTGTTCCTCGAGTATAATGTGAAGCGTGACTAGTGAAATTCCCCTGGCATAAAAGCCAACAATAAAAGCTAGTAGTTAATAGCAATCAAGTGCTTATTTAGTAAAGATTTTGAAAATTAATTGTTTGACTATTAAAGATAAAGTGGGTCCTACCTGTGAGAGAAGAATTCAAAAGTGACGGCTGAAATAGTGAAATAACAGTCAAAAAAATTGATTTTAATTGGTTTAAAATCTGTACCAAACAAGCACTAAGAGTGTGTTTGATTGATATGGAAAATATTACCTAGAAAAGAAAATATTTTCCTTAAAAACAAGGAAAATTAGGCATATTTTCAAAAGTTGGAAATTGTTTTCCATGGAAAAAAATAGCAATCAAACACTCCAAGTGAAAATTTGGATGGAAAACTGATATTTTCCATGAAAAATAAATGTAATCAAACACACCCTAAGTATCTCAATTTGTCATCGATACTGGCTGCAAATAATTTTGCTCAAGATGAAAGATAACTTGAGAATGAGGAAAAATGTGCGTAAAAAACTGACGATCAAACATTTTCTTTCATTGATATATGTAAAAAATAAATTAAATTACTATTTAAAAATCTTGTTATATATTTTTATTTTAGCAATCTATTTAATGTTCACCGTACCTTTTTATTGACAAGTAAATAATCATTAACTTTTTGATAACAACTATTTTTGAAAAGCTAAGGTACATTTGATTGTCAATATTGTCCATGAAAAATGTATTTTTTCACTCAAATTCCTACTTTTATACTGTTTGATTAGTATTTTTTCGATGGAAAACATTTTCCCACTTTTGATTACGTGACTATATTTTCCTTAAAATTATGAAAAACATTTTCTTTAAGTGGAAGTAGAATTTTATTATTTAGGAAATTCACTATCTCTTTCTCTCTCTCATCTACCCACCAATAAAAAATAGACAAGTATAATTTTTGCTATGTTAAAAATTAAATCAATCAAACACATTTAGTTGACAATTTTCATTCAAATAAGTTATAGGCAATTGAATTGCATGAAATTTATTTTTTTTCCATGCAAATTTCATACTTGTAATCAAACGTACTCTAATAGTAAAAGTTCCAGTCGTCGCACAAAATGGACCTTGGTTCCATAAAACTCTTCCGAAATGGAAAGAAAATTTGAGTGCATTTTAGGCTTTGGGGGCTTAACTTCTAAAGTTTGCCTCGTGTCTCGAAAATTTATAGTAAGATACTTAGATCCCGGTTCCATACATAAGCTAGCATTGTAGTTTAGCTCAGGATAAGCAACGTTGACATTATTAGCAAGTTGGTCACAAATATTTTTAAAAGGTTAATTCTCAACCTTTAATTACAATAATAAAATCAGTCCTCAAGAAAAAAAAATGTCCAAAAGTCTCCACAAAATGTCACACTGCCTTTGTGAAACACATTTCAGTTCAAATTTTTAAAATAAGCTATAATTAGCAAACAAAATTCAGTTTCACAAGGTTAGACATGTGAGGATCATTTAATTACAGATACTTAGATGATATAATGAAAAGTTAAGAAGCGTCTTACTTATTTTTAAAGTTGAGGATGAACTCGCTACTACTATAATAAGTTTAGAACCAAACTCCGTTTGGGGGAGGAGTAAAAGTCATGTGGAAACCTGGGAACCAACAAGGGCACAACCTGCGATTTACCTCCACTAGTCACTGAGGGGCCGGGGGCTAGAGGTCCAGGATTTAGTCCGGCTAAGCTGGGACACTTGGGTTATCAAAAAAAAAAAAAAAAA